GCATATCTAGTACAAGCTTTTTCTATCAAATTAAGATGAGGCCTTAGGCTGTAAATTCAATTTTTAATTTTAAAAAGATTAAGGGACAGATTCTGCTTTTTATTGCATTAATGAGTTGTTTTCTATAAATGAAGGCAGAACTTGGCTCAGTAGAACTGTAGCTCATGAGACTATTTCACTATTTGAATGTTACATTGAATGTAACGGCACCCAGTCAGTTGTAAATCAGTAAATAATTTGTCTCTGTGTAATTTGCAGAGAAGTGGTGCTACTAAAGTAGCTTATCCAGTGCTCCAACCTGGTTGTCCAGGTTCTTGCATACCCATTATCTATAAATTGATCATATCCCATGTAAGTTAGTGTTTGCTAATGTTTGTACTTTATCTGTTAATACTGTAGTTTATCTGTGACTTCCAATAAAGTACTGTTTCTGAGGTTACAAATCCAACATAAATTTCAGCCACCTCTGGAATGGCTTCAGACATTGTTCCAGAAAGACTGCTTTGTAGTGATGATGGGGACTGTTGGCCTCTTACAGCCACGCCTTGACCTCCAGCTGGCAAACTCTATGCCAGACTGTTCTGCTTGCCTTGAAGAAATGCAGAACCGTAAGGCTTTTGGATCCACTCCCTCACAGATGAAAAGGGAGAATGGTTTCAGAGCTTTTATTGTGGTGTGTCTACTTTGTTTTCTGCTCTTATTTTTGCTCAAAAGAGCCTTGTTCAGAAAAATGAGTATGATCATCAGCAGTTAGATCATAATGTGAATGCGGGGGTGTTAAGGGAATCAAAGCATGTGAACTACAGCAGTACCATTTTATCTTACTGTAGTTCTTACTGTAGTCTCATAACTGGTAGAGCGAGAGCTCTAGGGTTCTGGTCCAGTTCCCACTTAAACACATCTTCAGTTTAACCTATAACCAAATCAAAGCTTTCATCAGTGATTTATATGTTACAGTATGCCTGTACACATTGCATACGTCATGTCTACCAAGTGCAGCAGAAAAGACACCAGCTGGAGTCCTGGAAGTCCTCTGGGTGCACTGGCACCATGAGTCCCCTGGCCTCTCACAAGACTAGTTTAGCTGGGGCACAGCCTTTAACCAGAGCATTGGTGACATAGCTGCTGTCTTTTACATCTAGTGAAGGCTAGCCACTGTATGCCATGCATGACAGGGATACCTTTGCACTAGTAATAAGAAAAAGTAAAGCAGGTCCTGGTCTTTGGCTCTGGAGGAGTGACTAAAGATCCAGATCCTGATTTTGGATTGTCATTTTTATCATGTGGGTAGGTGCAACACCTCAGCTTAGGGAGCGAGGCTGGCAGCCTCAGAGCAGCCCCCTCCAGTGCATGAAAACCACTGAGGCTCTGCATGCCTTGTCCTGGCTCAGTTGGTAATGGAAGGGTCCAGACCCCCTCTGTGGACCAGCTCAGCTCTCTCAGTCCTGCCCACGCTTGTCATGTGCAGATGATGGCAGACAAGGTGTCGAGTGGGCATGTCTCTGCGGTCCCAATTTTTTAGTGAACAAAGACATCTAATGTTCAGCTCTGAACACACGCATACGTATCAGAGAGAAAGAGCCCAAATGCTGCCTGCACCAAGCATTTCTTACCAGCTACTTGGGTGGCTTCCTATGCAGCACAGTTTGTAACTTGCCTTGAGACACTTAAACAGGGAACTCACTCAGCTGTGGGGCTACCACAGGGACTATGTGGAGAACATGATTTGACATTTTTGAAATATTAGTGCCCTGCTGAGCTCACACACACGACAGGTTCTGCCCTCAGCCCCAAACAGCAAGACCTTGGCAGCTGGGCAACGCACTGCAAAGCTGGGCCACGTTCCAGATGCAGCCACCACACATCTTTGTGGTTGGAAAGGGAAAGTGTCTTTTTGACAGAGACCAAGGATTGCATTTTGCCAACCTCTGTGCAACTTCTAAGACAAGGAGATTCCGGTTTCTGGTGCACAAACTTTGCTTAAACACTAATTATTTGCCTAACTTTTAAATTTATTTGTGGGTATGACACATCTTTACATGCGGCACCTTTCACAGCCGCTTTGCAAATAGCTTTCCTCAACTACACATACCTTTGTGAAATCATCTGAGAGATTAGTGGGTGCATTTAACAAGTAGCTTTGCCCAACAGTTACTAAGATAGCTAACCTGTGCAGCTGTTTTAGAGTGTAGTGCGAGCATTTCAGTGCCTCATCTTCCTTGGCAGTCACTGAAGCAGAGGACAAGAGGGAGGTGTACGTCCTAGCAGCACTATGCAAGCACATGTGTAGTTACCTGAGAACAGCTGCTGCCTTTGTACTGAAGTGCTCACAGAGACAATACCCTGTGATTTTTCAAGTCTGAAGGAGTCCATTATTTCTTCTCAGAGGACAACAGAGCAGTAGTCAGGCACAAGAGCCCAAGTGTTACAGAGCAAGACGGATCAAAGCAACAGGTATGAAACTCAAGGTTGTCTTATCCAGCGATGCTTGTTAGGCTCACTAGCAGAGCACTACAAGGAGGACTGCACCACGGCAATAAACCCAGCCCAAGGCTGGGCTCAGAAGGTGGGCACGCTGGACACTAGCATGCCGTGCTCGTGCTCCACCATTTTGAGAACAAACGTTAATCCACCGTTTCATGTGGGGTTTCTTTTGCCACAGCTGCCCTCTCAGTCATCCTGGTTTTAGCAGTCCCTTTTGCCAAGTAGAAGTGACAGTGATCAGCTATGGGAAAGGAACAGTGGATTTTCCTCCATCTTGTACGCTGTACACCATGTAACTTCAGAGTCTGTCAAAGGGACACTTCTGCCTCAGATTACAGTAGCACAACTGGGTGACGACATGTTACTGAGACCCACAGACCTGCAGCAGCCATTTCCTCGGGGAGAGTGGCTGCACTCTGAAACCACAACTTGCACACCACACCATCTGCACCAACCCCTTATCGGGGAAGTATTGGTACCACTAGGAAAGTCAAGGTGGATGGCTTCAAGTTCCTATAGGTAAAACAATGTGTTAAAGACAGGAAATTATCTAAAAATATGCTTTTTCAATAATGTATTTATATAGAAAGGGAAACACTTTTTAAGCTGGGGTAAATGTCTCTAGCAAAATGTCCACATTAAAGTGATACTGCTTTGAATTTTAATCCAATAATTAATTAAAACTCTGTAATTAATAGTTGATTTCATCTACATCTACTCTTCTTCCCCACTTAAATGTGTGATGTGTGCTCTGACTATTATAAACTGAATATACATGTCCTATCTTAGTCAACTTAATGTGCCTTTGTATCCAGAACAAAACCAGAAAGGCTAGAATAGGAGTTCTAACCGTTGCATTCTTTAGCAGCATTTTATTACAAATAATTAACATGTACAAATATAAAATATATCCACACAATTAAACTCCTTTTTTTTTTTTGCTGTAAGGAAAAGCACATTTCAAACCTATTGTTTCAGTGGCTGGTCCTAAGCACCTCAAAACCCAGTCCTGAGCTCAAGCTTGCTATCTGGTGTTCCGTGTTCTCACCAAGCCAATGTATGGACCATTGGGACACTTCTAGTGAAAGGGTAAATTAATTTGTTAGAAGCCACAGCTTTATCCCTGTGTAGCTTTCCCTCAAGGACTGTTGCTTATAACTGTATGACACAAGCTGAGGTTTTTAGAAGGCATGTTTAAGATTTCTGCGACACTGAAGTACTGAATTTGTCCAATGGCAACTACAGCTGCAGTAAAGGACCGAGAAGCCTGATGCTGTGCACAGGTCTGTGCCTATGCCGCACAGCAAAGCGCTGCGCGGAGACCCTGCACAGCACCTGCCCACGCTGCCCTGAACTCTGTCAAGACATCAGTTCATTCTGAAGCACCACGTGTCAGATGATCTCAAGGCGCACTTCTCCAGTAACATCATGCTTCCTCGTTCATCTTAGGCGAGATGATCAGACGCAAATGGAAAGCCAACCATTACTGGCTGCATAGGCTGAGTTACTACAGTATTTGGAGAGCCATTGCAGAAACTCTGTTTTGAGTTGGTTTTGTAACTTTTTTAATATGTATCAGTTTTTCTAAGTCTGCCATAAACAGATCTGCCATTAAGCAGGCATGAGTATTACAGAGCAAAGTTTACTCCCAGCTCACCAAGGGCTAGAAACACTAGAGACTTCTGAGCACTTTTCCTTGACAAAAAAGAAACTAAGCAAGCTGCTCACTTGCTCTCCAACTCTTTTCAGGTGTATTTTACCATAGGTATCAGAGGAAGGGCATGATTCTGTTCCTATTAGTCAACAAATAAACAACCCAATATGCATAAATGACCAGATTAATGCATGTACATAATTTCACCTGACCTACCATGAGTAGCGGTAATCGCACCTCCAAGCTCTACAGGCTGTTTACCTGATAACTTCGCCACAAGACTGCCCAAGCTGGCATATAAAGAGCAAGAAATCAATTCTTTCTAAGAGATGACAAAACCAAACCAGAACTCAAAAATACTTTTTAGAAAATACCCACAATCCCTTTCAAAGAAATACAGAAATACTCTTAGTAAGCTCAGCATGACTGTGTTCACCTCTGGTAAGTAAAAGCAGCGCTCTTAAGGTAACAATACTGACCACTGAAAACCAGTGGTCATAAACCCCCATGATAAAATGCACACACCCTGTTTAGTTACTGCAACCAAATCCCTGCTATGAGAAGAAGCCAATTTCCCTCTTCAGAGAGCTGGAAGCGAGAGGAAACGTGAACCAGAGGGAATGCTGTATTTTGGCAGAGATGTATAAGAATAAAATACCCACTTGCTGTATTTCTGTTGTTCACAGCTTTTCAGTAAGCTAGGTGAGTCTGGGAGGCAAACTGGAAAAATCAGGGGGGACAAAGAAAAATAATTTAACAGTAGCATTCTGCTTGATTTTCTAGAACCAGCAATCCACTCGGTGTAGTCACTACTCTGGAGTGAAGCAGTGCAGGCTAACTGCAGTTTAGAGCCAAGAGGCCTTCAAAAAGTAACAACTTTAGGTACTTTCAGTTTTGGTTTTTGCAGCTTTGGTGTTTCTGTGATTTCTTCGTAATCTGCGCTCATTCCAGTGGCCCATCGCCCAACTGTAATGTGATCTGCAGAGTGAGACAGAATAGATTACAGGAAGGCTAAGCATTACCATCATACCTAACTTCTGCATTTGAGGAAGATTTGGCCTGCAAGGGCCTGTCATTAATTCAGCAAAGCCTTGCCCATTTAGTTCTAGCTCTGAAGCCAACTCTCCTTACACAACTTACTTTTTATTTTAAAATTGTGTTTTGTAAACTCCCTTTCTTCCCACACACAGGTTGTCAAAGTTCAGGAATCATTACTACATGTTTTTTCTTATTTGACTGTCCAAAGAAACATTCAGCGCGTATGCAGACAATACATTAGCTCTCATGTAAGTCCAAACAACTCTTACGATGAATATTTCAGAAAATATCAAGCATCTCTGCATATAAAGGAAAAACCTTCTCTACCATACAGATGAAAAAACTAAGCCTGGGGAGGCACAACAGAGAAATATTTACATTTCTCAATTCACATCCCTGCATATAATCAACACCATCCTTTTGCTGTTTAAACACTATTTAGACCAATTCACACCCCTTCCCTAGAGAAAACACTGTTAACCAGCTGGTATTTCTTTTCTGAATGACAATCTAATTTTGAGAGCAACATAGCAAATCATACCAAGAAAATCACACAGATAAATCAATGTTTACTCGGATTAACTTCTGTATATTAAAGCAGGCCAAATAACTCCACCTGAAGAAATTTTAAGCTGTGGTGCCTAAACTTCTTTGCCAACTATCAGCTATCTTCCTGCAGACTACAAGTATTTTGCATGATGCAAATTGATTTCAAAGAATATTACAATTCTTACCAATGTTGACACAGTTGCAATTAATTCAACTATTTTTAACCACCAATACTAGTTTTGGAACATCAGCATAAAGCTAAGATGTCACCTGGGAAATTAAACAGCAATTGTCAGTCTTCATTATGGACACAAAACTTCTCAAAAAAAAGTTAGAAAAAAATTCCAGTTCCGCTTCAGAAATAATTTAGAGCCCTGCTGCCAGAAAGCAGGAAGACTTGCACTGGACTGCACTAACAACAGAAGACTACCATTTCCTGGTAACAGCTAGTCCAGCTTTGAGCAATGCCGTTCCCTACAAATGTTTCTTTTCTCCTACTGCATCTGTACAGGTTTTTGGTTTACTAAAAGTGTTACTCACACAACGGCAGTTTGCCATAAATGTGGTGTGCAGAAATCCAACAAGGTCTACGTTACAGGCTTTCAACTCAGTAGTCATCTGAGTGGGCACTGCCCAACCATCTGCTATGGCTGATGAGTTTGGGGAAATTTTAGAGTCTTTTTCTACCAGAAACTTCTGTCATATCAGTTAAGACTCAATCTCACTTGTTCTAAACTAGCAAAGTGGCATACGTCTAGAATGTTACATATGGTTTCGGATACAACAATATCATATATATAAGATCAGATACAGAAAATGACCAAAGTATAGGCCTCTATTGCCTCCATAAATATTTCTTACATAAATTCCACAAAAGAGGCATATTATTAACCCAGAAGTTCTACAAGCCATACAAATGAAGTAGAAAAATGCACAAATGTGTCATTGCTTCAGTAACAGAAACATTCTCCAAACCCCTGTTTGATGCTTATGCCTTCCTTAGCACAGGGTTTTTTGTATATAACGTAATTTTTCCACCCACATGGGCAACCAAAGAACATGTAACCAAGCAGCTTTTTATCTGGTGAACCCAGCTGGACAGACATCCTGTCTCTTCCTTCTCTGCTATCCTGAACACTTGCCTGCACACACAGCTTTTACAAGCTGCCAGTACCACCCCTCCCGCAACTGACATTATATTCAGTTCCACCATTTCACAAAGAAATCATCAAAAGAAGAAACCAGTTTCATTCTACAGCTGCTAAGTTGCAAATAGCAGTATAAATACTGGCCAACAAATACACATTTTCTCATATTATCTTCATAAACCAACAAGCTAGATTTTTTTTTTAATGGAAAGTTCAAGTTTTGCATTGCAACTTACACATACCCCTTGATATAAGCACTCATTCCCAAAGGAAAGTCACCTTTGCCATTTGCAAGTTCTCTTCTCAAACACTTTTTTCCTGACCAAAATCAGGCAAACCAGTAAATAAACATGACTCAACTGTGCACTCAAACTCCACTCTGTACGCTCCCCCTGCATCTCACCTGCACTCTGTTTTTCCGGACAGTCTTTTCTGAAGTGCTCCACAGAGCCACAAAGTCTGCAGCCACCACCTGTTAAGAGAGAAAGTTGTTACTCCTCTTGGGAGAAAAAAACCAAAAAACAACAACCAACCAACCAAACCCAAACAAACACAAAACAACACAACCCTCCTATGCTGTTTTGCTCTTACATGTATCTTGAAAAATCTCATTCTACATATCTGTACTGACAACCTATAAGATAAGGAGATGTCTCTATGAACAGGTATGCACTCCTTGGCACAACAACATATCATGGACCAGATACGCACCCAGCTTTAGAAGCCTGCAAACACAGCTTCCTCTGTGTCTGTGTCTCCGATGGACAGACAAAGCTGTTTCGTAATCGCATTGCTCTGTAGGGCATCACATATTACAAATTCAAGTCACCACATACTGAATATTTCTGATTTGTTGGAAGCTCTCTCTTTGAGAAACAAGCTGAGTTCTGCTGAAATTCATACTCAAAGGAACTTTTCAAATTAACAAGAGCTCCTGAGAGGCAGGTAATCCAACTGCAGGTACTGAGATATGAAATCTAAGTTCCACTTGTAATCAAAAAACACTGAAAGTAAAGCGACTTTTCTTCCAATTTAACTGTGCTGCAAGATCACCCTTTTGAGTTTGCCAGACCTCAGGTTTGTACTGGGAGACACTGTGAGACAGAATGCTATTTGTTAGTGCCAAGAGAGAAATCAGGCAGGGCAGAATGTGAGTGAAATCTTCAAACTTAGATGATATTTCTCATTAAAGTCACTTAAACTGAAGATGTCCTCTTTCTAGTGAGAGCCCTTGTTTTGCATGAACACCTCCCAAAGTCTTAAGCTATAGTATGAGAGGATGTTTTTACCACATACTTTGGTATATGTACATTTAAATAGACACTGACTATATACATACATCCTATTATGATTTTGTTTCTCTGTGTGCCTCTTGACAGTGCAAGTACATGCAAGTTCTCATACCTTGCATCTCATCTTGTTTAACACTAAGCTTACTGGCTGGGGGAAGAGTGGTTAGAAAGTGGTCAAGCGGAAAAAGACCTGGGGGTGCTGGTTGACAGCCAGCTGAACACAAGCCAACAATGTGCCCAGGTAGCCAAGAAGGCCAAGGGCATCCAGGCTTGTATCAAGAACAGTGTGGCCAGCAGGACCAGGGAAGCGACCATCCCCCTGTACTCAGCGCTGGTGAGGCCACACCTCGAGTGCTGTGTTCAGTTCTGGGCCCTGCACTTCAAGACCTTGATGTGCTGGAGCGAGTCCAGAGAAGGGCAACGAAGGATGTGAAGGGTCTGGAGCACAAGTCTGATGGGGAGCGGCTGAGGGAGCTGCAGTTGTTTAGCCTGGAGAAGAGGAGGCTGAGGGGAGACCTTACCACTCTCTACAATGACCTGAAAGGAGGTTGTAGCAAAGTGGGGGTCGGCCTCTTCTTCCAGGCAAGTGGTGACAGAACAAGAGGGCATAGTCTGAAACTGCGCCAGGGGAAGTTCAGGCTAGAAATCAGAAGGCATTTCTTCACAAAAAGGGTTGTTAGGCATTGGAATGGGCCGCCCAGGGAGGTGGTGGAGTCACCATCCCTGGAGGTGTCTAAGAAAAGACTGGACGTGGCACTTAGTGCCATAGTCTAGCTGACATGGTGGTGTTAGGGCTAAGGTTGGACTCAATGATCCTAGAGGTCTCTTCCAACCAAATCAATTCTGTGAGTCTGTGAATTAAAACAGAAATCTCTAGGCAATCAATATTAACACTGAATTCCCCACAATTAATCTGCTTTTACCAAAAGTAAAAGACATGCGGAAATTCCTTCTAGTCAGATTCTCATTCACTTGCAATGCTACTTTGTTCCATATCGGGTAAGTATGAAAAATGTAGTTTTGCTTTAGTAAATTAGTACACTCACCTTCGGCATACAATCCTTTGGGATTATCTGGACATGACCTTGACAGATGCCCCATCTCACCACAGATGAAACATTTCGCATATGGAAATATCCCTGCAAAATCCCATACAGTTTATGGTCCACATCGAAAACTTTGTAAATTCACAGATAACTGTGACCATACTGTAATGACAATATTCTACTACACTATTATATACTATCAACACTATACTGTCTCTTACACTGTTAGGTTCATTGTTATAATACTGTATTCCTTTAAACATATTAACCTATCTCCTCAGAACAGTTAAATTACTAAAACACAAAGCTTATACTTCAGTAGTCAGAAAACTCAGACCAAAGTATCTCAAAAAATACAAATTTCTGAAACATACCAACCGCTGGATCTATTTTTGCTTTGCATTTGCTGATGTCGTGTTCCGTGGATCCGCACCGGTAACAGATTCCTGTCCCCATATCCTGACTTTCAAGTACTGCAGGACAATCAGCAACACCATGGCCAGGTTCTCTACAGTGGAAACACACCTTTGAAAATAAAAATTGTTACAGGCATTTTCACAGACAGTTAACACAGCAAAACACAGCACTTAGAGGTGACATTACTAAAGAATTCACTTGCTCCTATTATCTGATTAGCACCTATAGCCAGCAGACTTTTAATAGGCCACTATTTCTCTTGGCTGAAACTTTGAGGGTATTATCAGATACATACCTCTAGTGTTGAGATTTAAGGTTACTCTAACATAAAAACAAGATTCTGTGAATGGCAAAGATCTGAAAATCCCAGTCTAATAAGGCCTTCCGGCTTTTTAGAAAACAAACGTACCAAGGGATTTCATCCTTAAGGGATTTTCTCTCTCAGCTAGACAAAAGAGGCACTGTACCCTGTCACAAAATAACTTGTCAGTGGTCTATGCCATTAAATCACATTATTATGGGTATTTTTCTCTTTTTACCATCACCACATTGTACAGGGCATTCACTCATTGACAACTGAGTGCCCCAGATAAATGCCGATACTCAATTTTGACTACAACGCCGTCCCCAAAGCTCTTTAAGTACTACTGCAGAAAATGCTTAGGTAAATTTAAGCAATGTTGCACCAGTTCTGTAATTTATTCATGAAGAACTTTGGTATCTCAGATTAATTAGTAGTAACTCTCTTTACTATGTTCCCAGATTACATTCAGCATAAATTTGTGGTGAGGTAACTGCTTTTACACAGTCTCTATTAGAGTCTGGTGGAGACCTCACTCCAGCTCTCAAGCGGAAGTCACTGCAGAAAGAGGGCCCAAACCAGCAGGAACATTTTAGTGATGAATTACATACAGAAATGCACCGAACTAGTTTCACCCAGAAGACAAGAGGGGCTGGGAATTCATTAAAGGGTAGCAAGAACAGTATTGAACTGGAAGAGCCATGCTAAAGGCTAAGACTTAAGTTGAAATTTCTTGTTTATTTCAAAGTTGAGATACTTAAGTTCAGTTTATTAACTTGAAATGTCACTTTGCACACGCTATGCTTCTAGCAGGTAAGGCACTCGGCCTCCTCACTGAACCACCTCCTGGCAGTATCAGCAGAGAGCAAGAAAACTGCGCTTTCCACAAAACGTTTCCCAAGTTTTTAACAAGCCGCCACAGACAGGCAAACACCCACGATTCAAGGTGAAACTCACCATGGCATTTTTTTTCTTTTCTTGCCTCTTCACCCTCCTATCCTCCCGCCGCTTGTCCTTCTTCAAGGCTACCGCTACCTCCTCCAGCTCAGCGCTGTCTGCTTCAGCCGCCTCGCCACTCCGGGAGCTCCGCTTCAGGTGTGCCGCAAACCCGTTAACGTCTTCGTTCAGATACTCCTTTTTCTTTCTGTTCTTCTTCTTCCTCTTCTCTTGCTCCTTCTT